ACACACACACACACACACACACACACACACACACACACACACACGCACACACACACACACACACACGCACACACACACACACACACACACACACACACACACACAGAGTGTGGTTTGTCAGGGTGCACTACAGCCTACAGCTAACCTCCTCCTTAGACAATAAATAAACTAAATAAAAGAGTAACGATGAAAAGGCTAAAGGCTAGGGAACTCGTCCGTGTGATCATCTGCATTGAGCTAGCCTTTGAAAGCAGCAAGCACACAATCGGACCGATTGCGGATGGATGAACTTCAGAATATGGACTGAACTTCCAATTGCAAATGTGCAAGAGCAACCACCCTCAGCAGCACAACCCGTGATGACACCACAATAATGGCCTTTACTAACAGACTATAAGTCAAGTCGCAAACCACCACACACCTCTTCTCCAGCATAGGGAAACATACAACTCTATTCCTGACACAAACCCCACAAACCCTCCATTTCCCCTACACACGCACCTAACCCCATTACCTTCCAATAAAACACCCTGAACCCAAACCATACCCTCCCAGGTTTGACATTGCACACCCAAACACAATAGACACCCAATCTCCCAACCCAAACCTGCAAAAATCCCACACAAAACCATACCCTCCCAGATTGGACATTGCACACCCAAACACAATAGACACCCAATCTCCCAACCCAGACCTGCAAACATCCCACACGATCTCTACTCAAGCCAGCAAAGCACTTCCAGTTCCATCCCACATACAGATCCCAAAAAGCAGTACCCTCTAGTAAAGAGAGAAAATATTAGGACGAGGGACACAAGTCATATGAAGAGATTTCGAATACGTTTTTAGTAAACCAGCTATGCCAACTAGGGTTTAGGGTTTTAACACCAGTTAGGGTTTGTTGAAGAGGAATTTTAAACAATGTAAATTAAAAAAAGGCAAATGTGCAAGAGCAGTGCGTCAACTACTGAACTTCCAATTGCACTTGTGCAAGAGCAGTGCGTCAGCGTCCTCCATCGCTATGTTCGCAACCCCCTGCATATATTTCAAACGTGAGACAGATATTAGGGTCGGTGCTACAGTCAAGTACTGCAAACGTGCTTGTAAAGCAGCACAGCGTAACTTTGGCAAATGGTCCGTATGGGCCAACAGCCAAACTTCCCTGGCTCCAAAGGGTCTAAAGCGTCCAGCTTAGACCATGAAGCTGTGCCACATGATTTAAGCAGCGTATGTATGGGTGGTGACATTGGAGGATCAGCGGACTACAAGTTACACATGTAAGGTGTTTGTGGGCAAGGAGAGATGGACCCAACGTGGGGACGAACTGAACCGAAAATCCTCAAAACCAAAAAAAGTGTTGGGGACGCCTCCAGGTTCCTTGCAGTTGCACCATGCCCTGCTGCTCCTATTTTTCCGGGCGGCCGTTCACTTGCTGGCGGTGCTGTTGTATTTGTTGTTGAACTGCACACTTCTGAGGACAGTTTGCAGTGAGGTGCCAATGAGAATCACACAACACGTTGATATCTCTCATCTCTTATGTATCTTAAAGCAAACATTGGTCCTCGCGTTACGCTCCCCCCGGCCCAGGAGAAACTGGGAGGGGAGTTCCGCTTGCGCTGAAGGACGGGACCAAGGCTGGGTCCGGTTGAAAGGGGCAGTGGGAGGCGTGAATCGACGACTGCACGCATGCGGGGTTGTGAAGCAGCACAGTCCGTTCCAGGGGGCTGTGGGGAGGTGCAGCGGGCGGGCGAAGCAGTGAAAACCGCGCGAGTGCCCGATGCTCGTGTTCGATGCAGATGGCTGGAGTGTGCGAATGTGGCAGCAATCGTGTGGAACGCTCGGGCGGAAGGCTGCTGTTGGCACGGTTTTATGAATTGGGTCTTTTTTGGCCACGGTTTTGTGGACTGAATCTACAAGTGTGGCAGTGTATATTTCCATGTTCTTTTTTTTTTTTCTTTTTTTTTTTTAACAATAAAACAGGTCCTTGTGGCCCTGGCTCCATTTCCATTCTGGGGATCATCAGTCTGGTTCCTATTCCACCGGCAAGTCAGAATAAAAGATTACATCATAAAACACACTCACGCTTCCTTCCATTCGGCCAAAGGAACCCTGACCGGCATTGATTACTCCAGCATCGTGGAGGATTGACTGTCAGCTTGCCTTACTTCCTCCTTTCCTCTCAGGTCCACTGCATGAACCTGTCGGATATATGATAAAGAGCAAGAAAGGTAAAAGAAGCAACCAAAGATGCAATCTCGGAATTCGCCCTTCAACATTATGCGACCTGTGATGGATCTTGTCCTTCTGCTGGCTGGGATCTCTGCCTTTTCCACCCTGCTTCTGAGTTGTGCCAGTCTTTCCACCGTATGCTAAAGTCATTTATCTCTGCCACTTTGCCCCTTGCAAGCCACACCTTAGTGAAATTTGCCTTGATTCTTCTCTGTTGCTCTTCGTCATCTGGCAAGGATTGTTTCGTCTTATGCTACTTGGAAAGAATCTCCGCCTGAATCAAGGTCCTTGTCTCCGCCCATACCTTTTCCCTTGGAGTTGAGAGTCCCTCAATAGTTCTGCAGCACCTTTCCTTCCAGATGGACCACAGCATTGTCTTTCTGATCATTCCAAACCACGTTTTTTCTGTCTTATGGAAATGAGCTGGGATGTTACTCCATAGAAGGAGTTGGATGGGATGTTCAGGGAGGGGAGTCGAGAAGAGGGAATCCCAGAGATCCAAGGCCCTTGCCCAATATTCCGTTGCCTCTCTACAACGTATCAGGCAATGTAGCATATCTTCTGGTTCATTTTCTGAACATACCGCGCATAAATCTGAACTGTTAGGGTCATTCTTACTTCTTCTGATACCTTCTCACTGGTTAACCGGTAGAGCTACATATGAGATGAGCCATTGGAGGCTTCTAATTTTGACCGGACAGATTGACTTGAATTTTTTCCATGGTATCTGTGGGATCTGACGAGCGTCTTGACCTGTTAGCTCAGGATCCTTTGTTTTGAGGAGTAAGTTGTATCCCAGTTTGACAGTGTATTCCTGAATGGGGACATTCATTTTGAGGCTTCTGCTTCTGTATGATGTCCAAGCCCACTCTGCTGGATCAAATTCCAAGTCTTGAATAGCCGTTTCTATTCTGAAGATTGTTTTGGGCCATGATCCCAACACTCCTACTTTTCTGAGTGCAAAAGGGTTTAGGACTGTTCTTTCCACCTCTTTATTCAGGATATAGATGGAAGGCCTTGCGTGGAGGGGGTAATTGGGAAAGAGGTAAACACTGCCAAGGTATCCGATCCTTGCTGTTTATGGGAGAATTGATAGACCCTTGAGGGGGTTAAATCCTGCACCCTCACTCCCCATTCACCCGATTTCCAGGTTGAGACTTCGCTCAACAACTCCTTCCAGCCTTCTGGATGCAGTTGATAATGGATTGTAGATTCTTGTCTCGTCGGTGACATGCTTTGAGCTGGGAGGCAAGTTCCTGTTCTGTCACCCAGTCCTTTTTCTCCTTCTTCCATAGATGGCTCACTTTCCAAACACCATGTTTGATCCAAGATAGCCATCTCCTTCCTCCAGGCTTAAGGGATGGTTGGTGATCACTTTCGTCTCTCACCCACGGATTACCAAACAGAGCTTGCCTCAGTACCTCGTCTTTGGATTTGGGTCCACCCACCTTCTTCGGCATGACTTCCCGCCATATCCCTAGTAAAGCAGTCCAATATGGTGTAGGGGGCCTAGCTTCGTTTGGACCGGTTTCTCTTCGTTGATTTCTGCGCCCTGTACTTGGACGCCATTCCTTGGGCATTACCCAGAACAGACCGGACATTGTAGGTGCTAGGCCCCTGATGCTATCCAAGGCCAGTTTATTCCATGTTGTACCAGGTTTAGTCAGTATTTTGATTATCCATTTCACTTGTAAGGCTTTGGTTTCCTGTTTGGGTTTTATGATACCAAGGCCTCCTTTGGCTGGTTTCCTTGTGATGTAATGCCAAGCTATCTTTGGTATGCAATTCTCTTTGTTGGGGTCGCCCGACCACAAATATGCTCTTGCTTTATGGTTAAGTTCCTTAATTGTATGATCCAGAACTGTCCAAATTGACGCTATATAACACATCACTGAGAAAGTAGATGTATTGATGGCTAGTGCACGACCCATCAATGATGTGAATGTGTTACCCCATCTGCTCAGTTCGTTGATTTGTTTTGTGAGTATATTTTGGGCCATCTGAGGGGCAAAGCCGTCCTTTAGTCAGCAAGATGCCTAGATCTCGAGTAGGGGTCTCCGGTTTCTCCCTGCCTCGGGGCCTTGAAGTTGGGGAACCTCCTCCTTCGATAGCCACGAACTGATTGTTTTCTTCCAATTAATCTTCATTTCTGATGCCAATTGGAACGCTTCCATTGCTCTTACTAAAGCGTCGAGCAACGAGTCTGAAGCTCTTATGAGGACCGTGAGATCGTCTGCACACATTATTACTGTCGGGAACTGTAGGTGGTGGGCTGTTCCTACATTGACCTCTGGTAGTCTGTGTATGGAGGGGTCTTTGTGTAGGAATGAGGCTATTGCTTCCATCACAAAGAGGAAGATTGGGGGAGCTAGTGGGTCCCCTTGGCGAACTGATCGAAAGATTGGATAACAGTCAGAGAGCAGACCATTGACTTGGAGGCACCCTATGGCGTCATTATACAGAATGCGCACCCACTTCCTAAAATTTGGGCCCACTTCCATCTTTTCCATGTTTGCATTGAGAAAGGCCCAGTTGACCTGATCATAGGCCTTTTCAAAATCGAAAAAAAAGAATTGTTGTGTTTATCCTTTTTTCTCTGACTTTGTTGGCCGCTTCGCTGAGGGTTAGTACGTTGTCGAGGATGTATCTACCAGCGATGAAGCCTGTTTGGTCTATATGAAAGCATGTGTCTGTCAGGTCTAGGATTCAAAAGGCAAGAGCTTTGGCTAGGATCTTGTAGGGAAGTGTTAGAAGCAAGATGGGTCTATAGTTCCTAATATCTTCTCTCTCCCCTTTTTTGTACAGCAAAGTGACCACGCTGCTGCTCAGTAGGTTTCCCAGTCCCCCCTTGAGGCAGCTGTCGTTGTAGAAGTTTAGCAAATCGCCCCCTAGGAGCAGCCAGAACTTTTCCCAGAATTCTTTTGTCAGCCCGTCGATTCCTGGAGACTTATTGTTGTTCATATTTTGGACAACAAATGGTGATGGACTTGTCCAAAGCTTCTGCTTGTTTTTGAGATATCATTTGTTCTAGGTATTGCAGCCACGTGTATCCCCTGGTGTGCCAACACAATAGCACCTTGAGTGTGCCACGTCAGCACGATAATCTAGTCAGCATCATCAGTGGGGTACACGTCAGGAGCGATACCAGCGCGTCTTACAATGCCACGCCAGCCAGGTAATGGAGTGCCACATCAGACAATGCCACGTCAGCCTGAAGCTACTAACCACAATAGACGAGTGGTGAGTCAGCAATGCCACGTCAGCACACCTCAACAATCACCGGCCACGTCAACAATGCATCCTGGTCGCAGATGCGATCGATCGGGATCTGGATCACAGTGCGATCTTGCTGGACTTCCCCTGTCGGGATACCAATGCCACGTCAGCACCTGACGTGCGCTATCCCTCACTTGTCCACGTCAGCTCCTCTATACAGATGTAGTCGTCACCACTTCTTCGTCGTCGTCGTTCTATACAGGTCGTCGTCGTCAGTCACATCATCAGAAGTACAACTCCGATACCAATTTGCAATGAACCCAGATCGTGAAGACACTTGTCAACAATGCAAATCCAGATCAACCTGCTGATGATTATCAATAATCGTAATCGTGTCCATATATAAATGAGATGGGAGAAATCATACACAGACAAAGAAGAGAGGAGGGAGAATAGACTTAGAGTTGAGAAAGAAGACAATGCCCGCTTCTGCTTCGGGCTCCCTCCTCACTCGCCACCTCAATAATCACTAGTCTGAACGTGAATCTGAAGTCCTATCACAATGTGCCACGTGGCACGTCAATCAGTCCTCATCAGCGAGTTGGAGCAATGTTGACGTCGAAATAACCAGGAAAGTATCTACGATCGTCCCACAGTCATGATCTCCTCCCGAGTGACGATGAATCAGAACAGCAATATCAGTCACGTAGCCCCACCACGTCAGCAACAGTACACGTGGCAGCGGCCACGTCAGCGGCGGCGCGTGGCAGCTGCCATGTCAGCATGCCCAAAAGACAATTGCTAGCCCGCCACCATGCCGAGCCAGCAGCGTGTCGCTGTAGTCGCCCAAGTGCCAGCGTAGAGCCAGCGTCCAGCAAGTGTCGCAGTGCCACACTAGCGTCGAAGTCAACGCGTGAAGTCAGCATTGACGCAAGACAGAATGTTCTCCAAGACAGGAGGACCAGGCTTATGTAGCGTTGATGCGGGGTCTTGACTCCGGTCGCTGCTTCCCTCGGCCGTCGAGATCTCAAGGCAAATGACGGGCCAGATAGGCCTGAAACCGAACTCCCTGTTGTCGCATACCGTAACGGTGCAGACCAGAACAAGAACCGACCTCTCACAAAGTACAAGATAGCATAGCGGAAGACTTAGATACCAATGATCCGAACAATCAATGTTGCAATGCAGCTGCAAACATACATCATCCTCATTCCATGGTGTGAAGGGGCCTGACGCTCACGCAGGAAGAATGCGCCAGTCCCCAACCATACATAGACGAAGGAGAGGGGGGGTTAGACGAAGAAGAAGGGAAGATGGGAATGTCGTCAACACCAAGTCTTCGGTACAGGTCCCAAATAATCCCTCGTCAAATGTATGAATCCCCATGTTTAGTCTGGATCCAATGTCGTCAAGTCTCAGAGTCACAACTCTCTCTCTCTCTCTCTCTCTCTCTCTCTCTCTCTCTCTCTCTCTCTCTCTCTCTCTCTTAGACCGCAGATACTGCGAAGTTAGGTAGCGAGAAGATGGTGGACTTAGAAGAGGAAGAAGAAGAACTCTCTCTCTCTCTCTCTGTCCGGTACTAACCCGTGAAGTTGGCGCCTTGATGCAGGTACCTCGAAGATGAAGCTGGAGCTATGGCGCCACAGGTAAGTCTCCCTGGCCTCCGCCAGCCATCTGCCTCTCCAACACTACTCTACTCCTACCAGCGCCCAGCGCTGAAGACTACCGCTACAGCTACTAGCGCCCAGCGTTGAAGACTACTGCTAGCGCTAAAGCTACTCCTACAACACTCCTCCAGAGTGCTGCTGCCGAATCCTGAAGACTACTCCTGCCTTCTGCCTATCCGTGAAGTGCATGGGAACTCCCTATGTACTACCTCGGCCTGCCTCCTGACTGCCTCCGATTGCCTGCAGTTGCACGGCGGGCCAGTCCAGGAGGCTGCTCTTGCCAATGCCAAAACAAGCCAGGGTCTGGCGCTGCAGCTCCTGCTGAGGCTGTCGTGGGAACAGGCCGAAAATAGCCTGTTCCTAAAACCCTGGTTTGGTGCCTGAATGTCAGGGCAGGTAGATCTTATGAGGGCCCGAAAGTGGCCCTCCATTTCAGGCTCGAAAGACTCAGGGCCTGGACGACCCTGTTTTAGGCTGAAACGACATAGGGCCTGCAGGCCCTCGTTTTCAGGCTTTCAGGCTGAAACAGCATAGGGCTTGTAAGCCCTTGTTTTCAGCTTATTAGGCTGCGAACGCTGGTCGGGCCCTGCAGGCCCGTGTCCTTGAAAAACCGAGCTTACCTGCGAGGGCGAAGCTGTCTGTCTGAGGGAGGGACCATAGTCCGGGTGGGAGGGGCAGGTCGTGAAGTTCCCTTAGCTAACCTTTGTTGCTCGTAGTGAGCGTAGATCAGCGGTGCGGATGTTTTCAAATCTGCTGCTGAAATCCATCGAGTGTCGTCGGGATCGCATGCTTTGAATGTAACCTTGTACTGTCGAGGCTTGCTGCCGNTGTTTTCAAATCTGCTGCTGAAATCCATCGAGTGTCGTCGGGATCGCATGCTTTGAATGTAACCTTGTACTGTCGAGGCTTGCTGCCGTACTTGCGATCCGTGATGACGCGGTCAACTTCCTGATGACCATCCATAGAGGGAGGGTCTTGCGATCGTCGGCCTGGGAAGTCGTCGCTCTTAGTTGGTGTATATGTTGCTAGCTTCTAGGCGTGAAAGACTGGATCGACCGTCAGATGCGGGGGGATGTTGATCACAAATGAGGGGCCATCAGGCTCATCGCCCGCGGCTGATGTTACGGGCCATGGTCCAAACTACTTGGGAAGCAGTTTGCGTGAAACATCTTTCTCGAGTGCAAACTCTTCCGCGGAGACCCACACCAGATCACTGACGCGGATGGGACATGGCACGAGACGCCTGTTGGCTTGCTGATGCATGCAGACTTGAGCCTTTTGCATGTTCACGGGGGCTTGAGCCAGCAATTCCCTGTACTTCCGGACGGAAGCGGGGAAGCAATCAGCGTCTATGTCGACTGTTCGTGGGAGGAGAAGATCAACGAAGATACAGCATTTCCGGCCACCGTGGTGCAACTCGAATGGAGTCACGCCGATCACCAGATGCAACGAAGTGTTGTAGGCGAACTCGATGTCGGGGAGGCGGTCAACCCAATCCTTCTGATCCGGACGGATGAGCGTACAAAGCATCATTTGAGCGGTTTGATGAGCCCGCTCCGTTTGCCCGTCCGTTGTGGATGCCGAGCCAAACTTGGTTTCATCTTCGTGCCGGATTCCTGCATGAGAGAAGTCCAAAATGCCGACATGAAGCGAGTGTCGCGGTCGCTGATGATGTCTTCCGGTACGCCGTGGCTGCAAATCCAGCCGGTGTGTAAGAGGCGCACAAGTTCGGGAGCCGTGGCGTAGTACTTGCAAGGAAGAAATCGCGCATACTTGTTCAAACGGTCAACGATCGTGCGGGTGCCGTCGTGCCCGAGGCGGTCGCGGGGAAACGGACCGGTGACATCCATGGCAATGGAGAGGCCGGGTTCCCGTGGGATAGGCATCGGGCGCAACTCACCGTAGGGATTGCGGTTGTGGGGCTTGCTTCGTGTGCAAACTTTGCAAGAATTGCAATACCGAGTGACATCGGTAATGAGGTCGGGCCATCGGAATCGTTGTCGAAGTCGTGCAATAGTGCGATTGACTCGGAAATGGCCGGCGAGTCGCGAGTCATGGTACTCGCCGAGAAGGCGAGTCCGAAGACGACGGTCTCGTGGGACACATAGTAAGTCCTTGCCTCTCGAGTGGAGGAGCAAGTACCCGTCGRCRATGCGATAGTGGCTGGCCGGCGGGTGATCCGAAGATAGYTGCGCATACAACRTGGCGAAATCCGGATCRGACTCATAGCCCCGGATGAAGTGTTGCTGGAGTTCCTCGTCGAATGCGAAGGCATGATGTGTCATGGCGCAAAGATCGGGTTTTCGCGGGAGTGCATCTGCTGCGCGATTGGAGAGGCCGGCGAGATGTTTCGGTGTGAAGTCAAATTGGTCGATGAAGTACATCCATCGTCCGATCGTGCTGCTCACCATATCTTGCATCTTGTAGTAGGTCAACGGGTTGTTGTCCGTGACCCATGTGAACCTTCGACGCCCAAGGAGGAAGTGTCGCCATCGCTTGAGAGCCATCATGAACACGAGCAGCTCCTTCTTCCTTGCATCATCAAGTGAATTGATGGGAGGCACTTTGTGGCTGAAATACTCCACGGGGTGCCAGTCGTCGCCGTCATGTTGTTCCAAGACTGCCCCAATGCCATAGTCGGAAGCGTCAGTTGTCATTCTTGTTGGCAGGGTGGGGTCGTAGATGCCAAGGACGGGTGCCATGAGCATGGCCGCCTTGAGTGCTTGGAATGACCGGCGTGCGTCGTCATCGAATACGAATGGCAACTTTGGCGATTGTAATCTCGTCATAGGTGCGGCGATCCTTGAGTACCCAGTGATGAAGCGTTGATAGTAACCCGCCAACCCCATGAATGAGCGAACGTTCGTGGTGTTGGTGGGCTCGGGCCATACGCGGATAACCTCGATCTTGTCCACAAGCGGACGGATGCCTTGCGGTGTCACATAATGTCCCAAGTACTCTAGCTCCTGCCGCGCGAATTCGCATTTGTCGCGGTTGGCTTTGTACTTGGCTTGTCGTAGCCGCTCCAAAACGGTGCGCAGGTGCTCCACATGCTCGTTCAAACTCCGATTGTACACCAAGATGTTGTCGAGGTAGATGAGTACGAATCTATCCAACATGTGTCGGAACTCCGTTGTCATAGCTGCTTGGAATGTGGCTGGGGCGTTCGTAGGGCCAAAAGGCATAACCAGCCATTCGAAATGCCCATATCGCGTCTTAAACGCGGTCTTGTAGCGGTCCTCCTGCCGGATCTCGAGTTGGTGATATCCCGATTTGAGGTTAAGCTTGGAGAAGAACTTGGCGCCGCACAGTCGTTTGAGGAGATCGTCGATGCGCGGAAGAGGGCCGGCGTTCTTGACGGTTTGCGCGTTGAGCTTGCGATAATCGATGCACAACCGCAAATCCTTGTTCTTCTTCCGGACAAAGAGAACGGGGGCACCGTATGGCGAAGAGCTAGGCCGAATCCAACCTTTCTCGAGAAGGTTGTTGAGTTGTGCCCGTAGCACACTTAACTCTTCCTCGCTCATGCGGTAGATGCAACCACGCGGAGGTACGACCTCGGCTTCGAGGATGATCTCGTGGCGGATTGGCCGATCCGGTACTACTCCGTGCGGGGCTTCGAATACGTCGCGTCGAGAAGCTCGGTGATGCGTGGGTCCGATGGTGAGTCCGTCGATGGGATATCTTGGGGTGGGAGGGCGTGGAGAAAACACACACCCATCTCCTCGATGTCATCCCTGATGATGGAAGTTCGAATGCTTGCGGCGGACACCACGTGGCAGTTGATCGAAGGGTGAGGAGGAGTTACCGTGCATGGGACTAGTACTCCGTTCCGGTCACAAACGTGAACGGTGCGGTGGTAGAAGTTCACCAGGTGATCCTCGCTTCGCAGCCATGACATGCCCAAGATCATGTCGAACTTGGTGTCCAAAATGTCGAAGGACACGGCCTCGCTCGCAAGCGGGGCAAAGTACACGGGGACGACATTAATGCACCGGTCGATTGACTTGTGCTTGTGACTGTCGGCCAACGTGACTTGCGTGGGCTGCGACTTCCTCCGAACGCGTGGCCCAAGGCCAGCGCGTACCATAAAGTCTTGCCTCATGTAGTTGCGAGTAGCTCCGCAATCGATCAAAGCGCTGCAGGTCGCAACGTAGTCGTGAAGGTCGACAACCTCTACTCCGGCGTCCATCAACGGAGTTGGTACTGCAGTGTGCAAGTAATCCCGCAATTGTATCATCAGCACGTTGCAATGCGGTTTCGGCAATCGACCGGACGGGGGAAGGAGTATCCATTGGAAGTCCGCAAACGTCAACGGGTCGAGCTCTTCAAGTCTTGACCATGACGTCGAATCCCCAGCGATAGATGGCGGCGAAGCTGCCGAATCGGTTGCCGATGGTGGTGAAACCGTGCATGCGATGGATTGTTGCACGTGGAGTGGTTGGTCCAACGGTGGGACCAACTGGACAACATAATCCTCGTAAGCGAACCGAGGACTTGCGACATTCGCATTCTCCCCAAATGTGTAGGAGGCCGCTAGCAAGGCGACCGAATCTGGCGGAGTGAGAGGTGGAGTCGCCTCACCTCCCGCACAACTCAGTTTCCCGAGTTGATGCAAGGCCGAACGTCCTCCTTGCCTTGATCCGGGCATTGGGAGGTCTTGTGCCTTGTGCTGTTGCACCAATAGCAGCAGCCATACCGGCCGCGCCACTTGTATTCGGCCTCGGTCAAGTGAAACTTGACCCATGGTGCTGGCTGTCCGTTTCCGGCCGGCAATGCAGTTTTCACCTTCCCTTTTCCTCGGGAGTTGTTGTTGCTTCACGGCTGGACAGCGGCCACCTGATCTCCCTCACGTGATGCTTGGGTGGTTGTCGGGTCTTCCACAATGTTGTCCCGTTGGACTGCAGCGACATGCTGCGAACGCGGACCAAATTTTCCTTTCTCCACATAGGTTGGCTGCCGCGCTGACTTCTTGTGCGCAGCCGCCCTGTTGGTCGTGATGATCTCCCTTGCCTTGTCGACGATTTCGACGAAGGTCGTGTATTGCTCGCGATGATCAAGTGCGAGGCTCAAGGCGGCACATGACCGGCTGTAGAACTCCCGGCGCAGATGCGAAAATGGCAACTCAAGATCGGGCGTTGCAGCGATCTTTTGCCATTCCGTGAGCCAGCCGCGTGTCGATGTGTTGATGGCGAGCGTCGGGGCGTCGTCCACGATGAACCACTTCTTCCATAGCCTCGTCAACTCTTCCCAAGAGATCTTCTCATGTAGATCGTCGACCTGGACGTCGTGGATGGTTGCCAGGTGGCTAAGTCAGATCTGGCATCCGCCCTTTGAGTTGAGGAACAACGCGCCGATGTATGAGTGCTCGGGGACAAACTAAATCCGAAGTTCCGTCGTAAAGCCCTCCCACCAGGGGACCAGGTCTTGATGCGTATAATCATCGAACTTTTCAATGCGGAATGTCGGCATCTTGTAGTGTTGCGCACTGGTGTTGCCATCCTTGTTGGGCAGCTGGTGCAGTTGCTGAACCTCGGTCTTCAAGGTGTCCAGCTGCTTGCTGATGGTGGCTGGTGCAGCAAAGGTGCTGATGTCGCCGAGCATTGCGACGACGTGGTCAACTCGTTCCTCCAATTGGCGGGTAGAGGGTATACTGCTGGACTCGCCAGCATCTGGTCTTGTTGCAACTTGCTCCAAGTCCTGTACACGGGAATCAAGTACCCGTGTAGCATCCTCGTGCAGATCCTTGTGGTTCTGCATCGCCCGTCGGAGATTCGCCAGCTCGGACTGCAGGTGGTTACAAGTGTAAACCAACCGGGTCACGAGTTTGGCAAGAAACTCCTTGTGCTGCTCTTCCGCTGTCGCATCTTCGTGGTGCTCAGATGGTTCAAAATGCCGTGTCGCATTTTCGAGGCTGGCGGCTTCGTGCCGTTGTAGCAGATCCTGGGCTTCCTTGCGGCGTGCCTGGGTATCTGCGTCTGCTTCGGCCTGAAGCCGCTGCTTTTCAGCCGCTGCCGCCTGACGCTGTTCCTCAGCCTCGATCAGTGCGAGCTGAGCTTCGAAACGCTGTCGGTACTCGACGATGGACTCATTGGCCAGTTGGCCTGGCATGCCCAGAACTGAGACCGTCATGGTGGCGGGGCACTGCTGACGGGGCACTGCTGATGGGGCACTGCTGACGTGGCACTGCTGACGTGACACTGCTGACGTGGCACTGTTGCTGATGTGGCATTGTTGCTGACGTGGCACTACTGACATGGCACTGTTGCTGATGTGGCACTGCTGACGTGGCACTGTTGCTGACGTGGCACTGTACCAAGCCGGGAATGCAGGCAAAGGGTTGGGTGGGAGGGAAAACGCAGGTAGGTAACCAACCAAGCTATACTTTCCTCCCGGTCCTAATCAACAGAATAAAATAAAATTGTAATGACCCGCCAAAGCACAGACTGAGAACACTGCTGATTTCTGGGATTTGTCACTGGAATGAATGCCTTGCCGTGATTCCCGCATTCTGCTGTGTTTTCCAAGTCTGTGTGTGTGTGCATGCCTGCCCGTTTGCTTGCCTGTCTGAGTGCTTGACGGTTGAGTGTGTGTGTGACCCGTAAGGGTACCTGTTGGTTGCAAGGCCCCGCAGGGCCGGTACTTACCTGTGGCCGTGACTTTGAAGGGTTGCAGGGGGGGTTAACACGCAGGTAGCGGGGGTAGGCCCACGGCACTTAGAGCAGCTGGGAAAAACACTCAAGTAGCAGGTAGGCCGAGCAAAAGAAGACAAAAAGTTGGCATTTTTAGAGGCCCAGTAGCGGTAGGCTAGAGGTAGGCCGGTACCAGTCCAAGTAGCTCGGGTCTAGGGCCTGTCCGGACAATAACAGAGCCTGCAATGATGTTTCCCTCCGAAAGTGAGGAGGTACCGGTTGCTGGGAGGCCGCTCGGCCTAGGAAGTCACCGCCCAGGAGGCCGGTAGGCCGCTATATCTTCAGGAAGAGC